CCCTGCTGCACGCAGCCACGAGGAAACCGTCACCTAAGAGCCAACAGAGCCCTTAATAGGCCATGACCGCAATCCTGGGTTGAGCCCTCCAAGGAAGGTGCTCCTGGGGAATCCCGACGCCCCCAAGCCTGTCCGTACCCCCACACCAATCACAACAGCAACCTTCTAATCATCTCCATTAACAGGAACTGTGGACTTGTGGTAAGGAAATGTCACATTATGGTCTTTTCTTAGCACTTTATGGACCTTAAACATCCGAGAGTAAAGATGAGATGCGTTTTGATGGACCTTGAACGTCTGTTAAAGTAATTAAAAGCCACCTCAAGTTCCTGAACAGCTGTAACGAAAGCAGTAATGTCTCAAGTCTGGTGTGACATAAGAAAATAAATAAAACTTTTCTGTAGAGGAAAACTCATTTGAGAAGGACTTCACAATCTTACACTCAGATCTGAAGAAACACTTATGTTCTGGGACTAGCCTTAACCCGTGTCTGGGAGCTCAGGCACCTTAGATGAGGCCTAACCTGACAGTAACACCTGCAGTTAGCTCAGTCCAAACATTACCACAGATTCACTGAGAGTAAAGTGTTCAGATCAACAGAGAAGACAGTAAACTCACAATCTGGTTGGAATAAATTTATTTGATCTGTCTGTAAACAAGGTGATAAATCAATTTATGGCATTTCTTGGTTTTATGCATATGAAATCAAATGCATTAAAGAGACTGTATCCCAGATGTAAGAAGAAAAAATAAAAATAAAAAAAAGTGGTGAGGAAAATGAATAGACCGGCAAACAGGACTTTAAACAATTTTTTTACCTTTTTTTTTTTTTAATGAGTACACATATCCCACAAGGCCTAAACAGTGGAGCTGAAGCTAGAAAAATAAAGAAAAAAAGTGCCAATGAAATGACCCCTTCATGGACAGTGGGTAACAATCCGTTTTACAACAGCAACAGATCTCTCTACGTTATGGCACAGGATACACAGGTTCTGCAGTTAAAGTTTCGACAAAACAGCCATGAGCGTCTTTGTTCCAACTAATCCCATCTCCCATTAAGAGTCATTTCTACTGTTATTTTTTTATTCCCCCCACTTGGACGTTGTTAGCAGTGCTGAGCGTGGACAGGCTGATTCCCCAGAGCTCAACTGACTAGAGAAAAGGCAATTTATTCCACAGTATTATAGTTGTCAACACAGCATGGGGCTGCTGAAATGCAGTTGTGTTTCTTCTAAGAGAAAAACAAAACCTAATGATCATTTTCTTCATAAACTCCCACCCTTACCTCCACTGATACTTCACTTTTTTTTTTTTTTTTTTTAAACTTTAGTATTACTGTCTGGTTAGTGTTTCCTTCATCAGAAAGAATAAAAAGCAGCCATCCTTCACATGATTTAGAGCGAGTGTACAAATACCCGACCTTCAACTATACTTGGTCCTATATAAAGAAAAAGAAATTCAAACTGGACACACTCCAGAAGGTTATATGCTGGGATGTCTACTGTCCAAAAAAAAGAAAGAAAGAAAAAGGCAGCCTTTAAAAAGAAAACAAAAAGAAATTAAAGAATATACATTACAGGAGCTGGCAAACAAAAGTATTAAGTGCCTGAGCCGTTGTTATTGTGGAATGTCCGTGGGTTGTCATTTTTCGTGTAATAGGGGAGGGCTGCTATGCCAGGAGGAGAGTCCCAAACCACCACCACATTTGGAAGGACAGAGGTGATCACAAAAGTCCTCAGTTGGATCCCTTCTTACAATCTACTGTGGGCTCGAGATGATCTACAGGGAGTGGAGAGGGGCTGATCTCGCCAGGATCAAATAGTGATGCCCCAGAGCATCCTCGCATTTTTTGTTTGTTTAAAAAAAACAAAACAAAACAGACTAACGGGTGATATCTGACAGGATGGGAGCCGGAGTGGCGAGTAGTGTTTGAAGACTGCCCAGTGAGGTTTAGTGTTTACTTGATTTGAAAAGGAAGGGGAGGAGCAGGGAGGGAGGAAGTGAAAATTTGGCAAGAGGGACTTTCAAAGATTGGGGTGGATGTGTAGTGGTGGATCAGAGAGGGGAGCGACAGTGGTCCAAGATGCACGCAGTCTCCCCACCAGGACGTGGAGGGGTGGGTGGGGGCAACGACAGAGGAAGACGTGACGAGCTTTAGTGCTCCAAAGGCATCGGCTGCTCGGGGAGGGAGTGTGTGTGATTAAGTGATGGGCACTAATGTGGACGAAAAATAATAAAAGAACAAGCTTCAAATTAACCACTAAAGCCTTAACTGTGAGTGTTCAGCGAGAATTTTTTTTTTTTTTTGCTGGTCTTTAAGTACAAATTTGTCATGACATCCTGTTAGCAACATGCTCATCTTTGCTATGGATCAACTGAAGAGTGCTTAGAGGGGTATTAAAGAGTACACAGAGCAAGTGCTTTGGGGGGGG